GAGATTCGTGACCAGCAAAACCAACAATCTCAAAAGAACATGTCTCTTTGCAGAACAATTCTGCCCACCTTTTCTGTAGGATGTATATTTACAGGGGAATTGTGGGGTTACAGGGCTTGCACTTCTTCAACCCTACAAGACATCACCACTCTTTTTCCAGAAAATTTGTTACTTTTAAAATTTTTAAGAGTTGTATTGCAGATTGTTTCAAAGTTCAGCATTGCATATCCAAGCTCTGGTATTACTGCATAACCCAGGAGTCCATTAAGAAGGATGAAAAACTACACTTATTTTAAATACCCTTCATGTCTCATCTCAGTTAAAACAGAAAATTCAAAAGCTGGGCACACAACATGGGAAGCTGGATACAAAGCAGACTCATAGAATGGCAAATGCCCTAAACAGCACTCTGGCCTAAGAATCAGCCCTTAAGGCATTCAGATCTGGCTAAAAAGCCCATGAGAATTTCTCATGACTGGAAAGCCAAGACACTGTGGCAAAAAATGACCTAAATGAAAGATCTCTGTGAGTGAGATCCCAGTGGAAAAAAGGGGCCATCAAAGAAGGAGGTACCTATCTCTGAAGGGAGGAGAGAACTTCCACTTTGATTATGGCCCTGTCGAAATAAGGTCAGAGTTTGTGAACTCAAGAGGCTTCCATAGCCTTGGCAGCTCATGACAAGAGCTTCGGGTGATTACTGACATCATAAATAAGAGTGTCAATTGTTAAATCAACAATAGGAGTCACTGTGCACTTACTCCCCATGTAGGACCACTGTCCTTAATGTATTGTACTATGAGAATTAATGGTAAAACTAGTCTTCAAGCAGTACTTTATACTTTGTGTGTCTGTGTGGTTGCAATCTGTTGAAATCTTTACTTAATATATACTAAGTTGATATTCTGTATATAAACATAATTAAAAATGAATCTTAATGAAAAATGGGATGGGAGAAAGAGTAGGAGATGGGATGGTTTGCAGGTGGGAGGGAGGTTATTGGGTAAAATCCTCTATAATCCAAAAGTTGCACTTTGGAAATTTCTATTTATTAAATAAAAGTTTTCTAAAAAAAAGTACAAAGTATACTGAGAGCATCATAATAAAATGTTGAACAAAATCAAGTCCATAAAAAAAATAAGCTGGGCATAGAAGCTGACTGGACAAAAATGCAGGGCGAGTTGGAGAACTGGAAGAGAGGACCCGAGAGGCTGAATGTAGCAGAAATGGCAGACAGAGGATATCAGACAAAGAGCTAGAATATAGGAACAAACATTTAGAGGCAATGAACATATTCCTGGAAAACAGTACTTCTCAAGATGCCGTCAGAAGCCTGAATACTCCTATAATCATTAAAGAAGGTCTTTCCACCAAAAAAAATCAGGTCTAGAAGGTTCCATCATGGGTCCTACCAAAGGTTCAAGGGAGCAAACGCTCGTGAGCTGACAGAAGCTTTATGAAGTTAACATAACCATGAGACAAAACCTGACCAAGGCAGTGTGAGAAAGGGGAATCCCGGGCTCGTCTCACCCATGAACCACAGGCAAAAACCCTGAAGCATCATCAAGTGGCATTCTGCGATGGACAGAAATGATAGTGTATAGTCACCAGCATGGGTTAATTCCAGGAATTCAAGGTTGGTTTACAGTAAGGAAAAATATTTCCACATCATTCACAGCACTGTCATAAAAAGGGCCTTGCTGGTTCAGAAAACTCCATTTGTCCTGCTGGTTTCTCTCCAGCTGTCTTATGCACATACGATTGTACCTCCGCCACTGTCTTACACCACAGGAGACCTTGGAGGAGAGTCAGGCTCTGAGGCTGGCAAAGCAGAAAAACAGGAGCCTGAGTCCCTTAGGGCACCAAGGAGCAGCTCGGAATCCTGACCCCTGGCTTCAGTGTGAAAGAGAAAATAAAGGGTTGTCTTGTTTAGGGTAGCCATGCTTTTACAAAGGTAAATTAACAGAACCAACTCCTAATTGATTCTGACACCTGCGGCAGATTGGTAGAACTGAGAAGTACCAGGAAAAGCTTTATGGAGCACAAGATAATTTGAATTTTAAGACTTGGAAGAACGAGTTTAAAAGAAAATTCTATCAAATAGAGAAAGACCAGACAGGCGGAAGGCATCTTAGAAACAACAGGAGCGGTGTGGAAAGGTGGAAGGCATAAAAAAATCACCCTGTGTAGAAAATAATACGAGGAGTGTTACATGTGTATTTCGTGACTATTCTGTCTGGGAATGGGCTAGCTGAACTGGAGCAGAAGAGGGTCACTTTGTAGTCTATTAAATGCAAAGCAGCAGCTCTGGAGGCAGGCCGTGGCCTCTGCAGGGGCTGTGAGAGTAAACAGGTATTAGCCAGGCAGGACACAACTCAATGAGGGTAGTGAGTCCTTGATGTGCAAGGTGATCCGAGCTCAAGTCTTTGTGTTCATAGCTGAGAATGTGCCCCAGACGAACAAGTGCCCACCCCTGTGCTTGTCCCTGCTGGCTCGGCGCAGATGAACCTGTGGAAGACCCTGCACCCATGGGTCAAGTCCTTGGGCAGTAAAGTTCCTAAGAAAGGAAGATTCTAGAGAGAAATGGAGAAAAGAGTTGTTCCTCTGTGTATCTGATGATTTGGTTGTCTAAACAGTTTTTAAAGATTTATTCATGGGGCTGGCACCTTGGCGCACTAGGTTAATCATCTGCCTGTGGCGCTGGCATCCCATATGGGCACCAGTTCTAGTCTCGGCTGCTCCTCTTCCAATCCAGCTCTCTGCTATGGCCTGGGATAGCAGTAGAGGAAGGCCCAAGTGCTTGGGCCCCCACACCCACATGGGAGACTAGGAAGAAGCAAATGGCTCCTGGCTTTGGATCAGTGCAGCTCCAGCCATTGCGGCCATTTGGAGCCAGGAAGTCCATCTGGGTCTTCCATGTGGGTGGCAGGGGCCCAAATACTTGGGCCATCTTCTGTTGCTTTCCCAGGCTCACTAGCAGGGAGCTGGAACAGAAGTAGAGCAGCTGGGATTCAAATTGGTGCTCTGATATGGGATGTTGGCTTCACAGGTGTCTGCTTAACCCTCTGTGCCACAACCCCAGCCCTTTGCCTGAACTTTCTCCTGCAAAAATCAGGAAACTTTGTAGCAAGGCTGACCCTAGGTAACCCATGGCACAATGCCACGTGCATTCCAGCTTTCCCGAGACAGTCGTAGCTTAACTGTTAACAGGTTTCTCCTTTCATTCTCAGAAGTACACTGTTTTGTATGAGAGATTTTGTGATCACCCAACTCACTGCATAGGGAGCATATAAAGGAATTGGTACATCTTTGCTGCTGCTTTCCTTTGTAGCATAAACGAATCACTACCAGTTCCCTCACTCCCAAAGAAACATGGAGATGAAAGACAAACCTTTGGGGATGCATTGTTTGATCCCAGTATTTCAGACAACGACACTCCTAAGGAACAAAAATGTTTCCATAGAATAATAAAGACCAGGGTGTTTTGCAAAGAATTGGGTCAAAATTGTAATAACAGAAAGAATATGGATTTCGCAGATGAGGCTGTGTAAACTTGGGAAGAAGAGTGAAACTTGCAACAGGGATATGTGACTGCTCTCAGTAATCCAGAAGAAAACCAGCCACTGGCTTGCTGTTGAGAGAGACTGAATTACATTTATAATAGCGCTTTCAGGGCCAGCGTTGTGACACAGCAGGTTAACCACTGCTTGAGATGTGGGCATCCCATATCAGGGTGCTTGTTCAAGTTCCGGCTGCTTTCCTCCCAGTCCATTTCCCGGTTAATCCACCTGGGAAAACAGCAGATGATGACTCACATACTTGGGCCCCTGCGACCCATGTGGGAGACCTGGACAGAGCTCCTGACACCTGGCTTTGTGGCCCAGAACTGGCTGATGTGGCCATTTGGGGAGTGGACCAGTGGAAGGATGAGTCTCTGTCTTTCTCCATCTTCCTGCCTTTCAAATCAATCAATCCATCTTTGTATCGAGCCCTTTCTCCATCATTTGCCCCTCTACCAGGACAACCTGAAGAAGGGAACCTGTGTTCATCCATGTTCTGTTGCTATAAAATATCTCAGGTTAGTGCTTTATGAAGAAAGGAGATTCATTGAGTTCCTGGTTTTTGAGACAGAAAGTCTGAACAGCCTGCCACCAGCTCTGACAGGGCCCTTAGCTAAGTCACATCAGAGTTGCTGGCATTAGTGGTAGCAGGTGCAGTGAGAAGCACACGATGAGACAAGAAGCCAGGGGCCAGGAGAGGGTCAGGTGTGCTCTTTTGTGCCCACCCTCTCATGAGAACTAGTCAGTTCCATTCAAAGTCAGTGCCCTCAGTGTCCTGCTTCCCAGAAGCACCCCCCCCCCAAAAGATTCCACCCCATCTCCCAATCCTGACACAAGGAGGACCAAGCTCCCAACACATGAGCCTTTGGAGGACATCCAACCTCCAGCAGAGCTGCGGTGCCTCCATCAGGACCAGCAGGAGCCTTGGAGGTGGGGACCACACCTCATCCTCCCCCACCACCATCAGCTTAAGTTTCATAGATCTGAGTTATCAAGACACAGCCCGGACAGGAATCATAATGCCAAAAAAGAAATTTGAAGAAATATTGGTCAGATGCTTATCACATTTGACCAAAAGAAAAGAAACTCACATGTCCAGAAAGTCTGGCACACTGCCAGCAAGAAATAGATGCCATGTAGGCACATTAATAAATGAATCCCATGTAGGCACATTAATAAATGAATCCCATGTAGGCCCATTAATGTTACACTGCTGGGAAGCACAAACAGAAAACATGGGGAGCAGGGACACACGACATCTCTCCAGAAGCAACAAGACCAGAAGACAACGTCATTCAAATGCTGAAAGAAAAAAAGAGAGACCTGCGACTCTACAACTCTGCATCAAGTGAAATTATTTTGCAAAAATGAAGATAAAGATATCCTGACACAAATGGAAGACTCTAAGGTAATATGTCCTTAGGTCACCCAACCACAAGATATGCTCATGCTCACTTTGGTATATGCTAACATTGGAATGCTACAGAGATGGTTAGCATGGCCCCTACACAATGATGATGTGAGATTCATGAAGGAGGTGATACATTCAAAGTACTTAAAGAACAACAACTCTCAACCAAGATACAATACCCAGCAAGACGCTCCTTCAGAAATGAAGAAGGGATACCGACCATGCCACACAAACAAGCTAAGGAAGTTCATTACCACTGCTAGTTTATTCAAGTTCATTGCCTTATAAGAAATGCTAAAAGGGGTTCTTCAAGCTGAAAGAAAAGGAGATAATTAATGAAAATCTATGTGAAAACCATATGAAAGTATAAAACTCACCAATACAACTAAGTAGTTGGTCAAATTCAAAGTACTCTACTACTGTAGCGGTGGTGTGTGAATCACGTGCACCTGCCACGGCCCTCCTCAGAAGCCAGACCAGGGGGACTACCGGATGTTGGACTGTGAAGCGCCAAAACTGTGAGCCGAAGTAAGCCTTCCTTTCTTCCGTGTAGCCTCATCGGGTGCTTAGTGGCAGTGACAAAAACTGACAGATATTGTAGGAGACTTCACTGCTCCACGTTCAGCAATGCACCGACAGTCCAGACACACAATCAACAAAGAAACACTGGACTTAACTACGCTCTAGACCAAATGAACTTATCAGATACATTCAGAACATGTGAACTCTGCATTCTGCCCCACAACACGTGGGATAATCTCCAGGATAGCTTTGTAATTTGCCAGAAACTAGTAAACAAATTTAAGATGATTAAAATAATGTCAAATATCTTTTTAAACCTCAATAGACTGAAACTACAAGTCAAGGAAAGAAGATATTTGAGGAAATTCACAAATATAAGGAAATTAAACAACAATGCTCCTGAATAACCAGTGTGAAGAAATTAAATAGCAAATTAAAGACTAATGGGGCCAGAGTTGTGGGGCAGCAGCTTAGGCAGCCACTTACCCCATATTGCAGTGCCAGCCTGGATCCCCCCAATGCTGCTTCTGCTCCAGCTTCCTGAGAGTGAGGCTGGGAAATCAGTGGAGGACAGCACAAGCAGTTGGGCCCCTGCCACCCATGTGGGAGACCAGGGATGCGTACTTGGCTCCTGGTTTCAGCCTGGCCCGGACCTGGTTGTTAAGGCCATTCAGGGAGTAAATTGGCAGATGGAAGATCTCTTTCTCTCTCTCTCTCTCTCTCTCTCTCTCTCTCTCTCTCTCTCCCCTTACATACTTGTTTCTCTGCCTTTCAAATAAATAAGCAAATAAAATTTAAAACCATAAAATTAAATTGTAAAAGATCTTGAGACAAATGAAAATGAAAATCAATAAGCTAAAACTTATGGGATTTAAAAAATATTTATTTGTTTCTTTGAAAGAGTTGCAGAGAGAGAGAGAAAGACAGAGAGAGAGAGAGATCCTGGTTCACTCCCCAAATGGCCACAATGGCCAGGGCTGGGTCAGGTCAAAGCCAGGAGGCAGGAGCTTCTTCCAGGTCTCTCACATGGGTGCAGGGCCCAAGCTCTTGGGCCGTCTTCCACTGTTCTTCCCATGCTATTAGCAGAGAACTGGATTGAAAGTGGAGCAGCTGGGACATGAGACAGTGCCCATATGGGATCCCAGTGTTGCAGGTGGTGGCTTTACCTGCTACAGCACAGCACTGGCTCCAGCCAGGATGCATTATTATGTTTCAACTAAAAATTTAAAATATATAAGAAACTCCCCCCTCACCCTGACTGTTGATGAACAGCTTAATATGTTATCCCTCTTAGTATTTTTTTTACTTGTTCTACTTAATACTTTTGGTTGAATACTGTAATCAATACACAATTCTTCTTAAGTGCTGAAACTTAACTGAAAAGTGATCACTGTTAAATATAAGAGTGGGAATAAGAGAGGGAAGAGATGTGCAATTCGGGACATGCTCAAGCTGACTTACCTCAAACGGTAGAGTTAGAAACATACCAGGGGATTCCAATTCAATCCCATCAAGGTGGCATGTACCAATGCCATCTCACTAGTCCCAGTGATCAATTTCTGTTCACAATTGATCATAATGATAGGACTAAAAACCAAAGGGATCACATAAACAAGAATAGTGTCTGCAAATACTAGCTGATAGAATAAAAAAGGGAGAGAACGATCCAACATGGGAAGTGAGATACACAGCAGATCCATAGAATGGCAGATGTCCTAAACAGCACTCTGGCCTCAGAATCAGCCCTTAAAGCACGCGGATCCGGCTGAAATGCCCATGAGACTATTTCAGGCATGGAAAGACAAGACACTCTGAGGGAAAAAAAAAAAAAAAACCTAAATGAAAGATCTCTGCGAGTGAGATCCCAGTGGAAAGAACGGGTCATCAAAGAAGGAGGTACCTTTCTCTGAAGAGAGGAGAGAACTTCCACTTTGACTATGACCTTGTCTAAATATGATCAGAGTCGGTGAACTCAGGGGGCTTCCATAGCCTTGGCAGCTCATGGCAAGAGCCTAGGGTGATTACTGATGCCATAAACAGGAGTGTCAATTTGTTAAGTCAACAACAGGAGTCACTCCTCATGTAGGATCTTTGTCCTTAGTGTGCTGTACATTGAGATTTAATGCTATAACTAGTACTCAAACAGTATTTTTCACTTTATGTTTCTGTGTGGGAGCAAACTGTTGAAATCTTTACTTAACGTATGCTAAACTGATCTTCTGTATATAAAGAGAATCGAAAATGAATCATGATGTGAATGGAAGGGGAGAGGGAGTGGGAAAGGGGAGGGTTGCGGGTGGGAGGGACATTATGGGGGGAATCCATTGTAATCCTTAAGCTGTACTTTGGAAGTTTATATTCATTAAATTAAAGTAAAAAAATCTAAAAAAAATAAAGTACTTCAAAATATTTTCAAAAAAATATATATAAGAAACTCAAAACATCATGTGGTACATGATAAATAAGTAAATAAATATATATATATATAATTTTGTGTCAGTTAAAAATAAAATAATTTTTAAAAATAGAAAGCAATGCCCAATTATATGTGTGTGTGTGTATAATACATTGTAGATTAAAATAAAAGGAAAATAAAAGAAAACCATGCTCATGATATTACTAATAACAGAAAACTGAAGTGGCTTTATTAGTACCAAATTTAGCACACAACACTTGATCTTAGCCAAAAGGCTGGAAGCAATAGCACACAAAAACAGAAGGGAGGCCGGCGCTGCAGCTCATTAGGCTAATCCTTTGCCTGTGGCGCTGGTACCCTGGGTTCTAGTCCCAGTTGGGGTGCTGGATTCTGTCCCAGTTGCCCCTCTTCCAGGCCAGCTCTTTGCTGTGGCCAGGGAGTGCAGTGGAGGATGGCCCAAGTGCTTGGGCCCTGCACCCCATGGGAGACCAGGAGAAGCACCTGGCTCCTGGCTTCAGATCCACACAGTGCACCGGCTATAGCAGCCATTTGGGGGGCAAACCAATGGAAGGAAGACCTTTCTCTCTGTCTCTCTCTCTCAGTGTCTAACTCTGCCTGTCAAAACAAACAAACAAACAAACAAACAAACAAAAAAAACACAGAAGGATAAATGCAGTTACTTCATTATGCCAAGGAGTCAGTTCATGAGGAGGAGATGCACTATGAAATGTTCGTGCACCTTCTAACACATCTCCCAAACAGGTGAAGTCAAAACTAATAGAACTACAAGAGTAACAGACAAATTCACAATTAGAGTTGATTATTTCAATTCTTCTCTCTTGCTGATTGTTAGGACAAGCAACAGAAAATTAATAAAGATAAAAGAGGACTTCAATAACTATCAACTAATCTGACCTATCTGACATTTCTAGAATGTACTATCCAACAAAAGCAAAATTTACATTTTGAAAAATGGACACAAACACATTAACTAAGATAAAATATAAAATATGCCTAGACCATAAAACATGTCTCAATAAATTCTAAATGATTCAATTAATACAAAATATATTCTGTGGCCATGATGGAATTACATTAAAATCAATAACAGAAAGCTATTTATAAAATTCCCAAACATTTAAAAACTGGGTAACAAACTTCTAAAGAATGCTTGGGCCATAAAGAAAATCAGAAGGTGAATTAGAAAGTATTGGCTTGAGGGGCCGGTGCCGCGGCTCACTAGGCTAATCCTCTGCCTTGCGGCACTGGTACACCGGGTTCTAGTCCTGGTCAGGGCACCGGATTCTGTCCCTGTTTCCCCTCTTCCAGGCCAGCTCTCTGCTGTAGCCCGGGAGTGCAGTGGAGGATGGCCCAAGTGCTTGGGCCCTGCACCCCATGGGAGACCAGGAGAAGCACCTGGCTCCTGCCATTGGATCAGCGCGGTGCGCCGGCTGCAGTGCGCCAGCCGTGGCGGCCATTGGAGGGTGAACCAACGGCAAAGGAAGACCTTTCTCTCTGTCTCTTTTTCACTGTCCACTCGCCTGTCAAAAAAATAATAATAAAAAAAGAACGTATTGGCTTGAAGGAAAATGAAGGCACACTATTTTGAAATATGTGGATGTAGCTAAAGCAGTACGTAGAGAGAAATTCATACCCTTATATTAGAAAAAGATTTCTCCTTTTCTAACCAAATCAGTGGCTTCCAATCAATAATTTCATCTTTCACTCTAAGAAACTGAAGAAAAAAAAACCAGAGCAAATAAAAGCCAGAGTAACCAGGAAAAAAGGAGATAATGAAATGAGGGCATAAGAAAACAGAAAAACAGAGAAAATCAGCGTATCCAGGAGCAAATGCTTAGTGATCGCTGGAGCTGTTAAACTCTGTGGTCTCTCCACAGGCTGATCAGGAGGGAGCAGGGAGAGAGAGTCCGGAGTCAGAGTTGACACATGCGGTCTAAATGGGTATTCAGGGACTGTCACGTGCAAGCTCACGCCAGTAAGTTCTAAAACTTAAAGGAAATGGAAAAATATCTTTACAAGCTACCAAACCTCACTCAAGAAGAAACTCATAGTGGGCCAGCTCTGTGCTGTAGTAGGTTAAGCCTCCGCCTTTGGCACCAGCATCCCATACAGGCACCAGATTGTGTCCTGTCTACTCTATTTCCGATCCATCTCTCTGCTATGGTTTAGAAAAGCAGTAG